TGGAACCACGCGGAGCCGCGACCAGGGCAGAGCTGAGCCACGGTCTCAGCCGCCGTGTCATGTGCCCTTTCTCGACTGTCCCTCTCCTCTGCTCCCGAAACTCCTGGAGGGAGAGCTCTGTGCAAGCCTGCGTCCCCAGGAGGAGGTCCCTGACCGCGGCCCTCCGTCCCCGCCCGTCCCTCTCGGACTTGGGGCCAGGGGTGGTGTGGCGAGGCCTCGGCCGTCCCGTTGCAGTCAGACAGGAGTTTTGGTGGACGGGACGGCCAGGTCCCTGTGCTGACTCCCCCGTCTTTGCCGGATACTAGAAGTTTCCTTTGTTCGCCAGAACTTTGCAGTCCAGCAAGTAGTCACTGAGCAAGTCGCTGTCCGGGTAGCTGCATGGCCCCAGGTGCCCGGTGCCCAGGGCCTCGCCGTGGCCCCGACAGGCCGAGCTGGGGTTTGGGGGGCCGGCTGCTTCTCTGGGGTGTGACTTCATGCTCTTCTTACAAACACGAGGTTGAAACAGAACGGAAAACCTGGTGTCCTTCCTCAGGCTCCCGTGAGGAGGCTCCCTCGGACGGAGCGAGACCTCCCCGGGGACACTGCTGGGCGCAGGGACCGGCCTCGGGGCGGCATGGCGCCTCTCGCCGGCCTGCTGTGTGCTGGGCGCCCTGGCAGGGGCGTGCGTCGGCTCACTGGGCTTCCCAGCAGCCCTGGGTGAGCTCTCGTGGCAGCACCTCCGTTTCCCAGCCCCAGCGCAGGAGGGGCCTCTGGTGGTCACAGCGCCAGGAACCGGCAGCGGAGGGGCCTGCACCGGGCAGTCTGGGCCCGAGGGTCTGGCTCTGACACGAGCCACACGCGCCTCTGACACATGGATGTGGGGAGTGGGTGTAACCACTCGGGTGCTTTCCGTCGCCGTCTTGCATGTGTTACCTCAGGAGCTTGGTTTGAGGGGAACTTGGCCAGCCTCCCTGCCCCCGGCAGGCCTGCCACCTGCTTGCACAGTCCCGGGAACGCAGTCCTGACGTGGCATCGGGCGGCCTTTTCTCTCGGAAGCAGACCCACTGGCATCCACCTCCCTGCGCTGCCCTGGCCGAGGGACTGGTCAGGGTCAGCCCCGAGCTGCCTGCCTGCTCTGCTCAGGGCGCTGGCCTGGGGCTCCCAGGAGGGGCCTGGCCCGGGCAGCTCCCCTGACCTGGGCGGTTCGCCTCCAGGGCAGGCTGACGTCGGCACCAAGCCACCTTCCAAAGCCAGCCTAGGGCCAGACTGCTAGTCTTCAGCTTTAAAAATATTAGGCTTTAAAATGACAGTTTTTAAAAAATATATTTTTACTGATTTCACAGAGGAAGGGAGTGGGAGAGAGAGAGAAACATCAATAATGAGAGAGAATCATTGATCAGCTGCCTCCTGCACGCCCCACATTGGGGATCGAGCCCGAAACCCGGGCATGTGCGCTGGACCAGAATTGAACCTGGGACCCTTCAGGCTGCAGGCTGATGATCTATCCACTGAGCCAAACCGGCTGGGGTGACAATTTTTTTTAAAAGTTAAACTGAGTATATTTATGGTTCTTGTAACCTAACCCCTGACACGCCAGCGTCCCTTGGGGAAGGTCGCCAGACCAAAATGGAGGCAGGGTTCGGCCGTGAGGGGGTGGGTGCCCCTGGCACCGAGTGGAGAGGGGCCTTCCCTCTGGCGCACCCTTTCCGCAGACGGGCGAGGGAGGGGGGCCGGGACATCACATGTCCCTCCCTGTGCTTCAGTGTTTTAGAGGCTGAGCCTTGACGTCTCGCTCCTCCTGCTAATTTTGGAAAGGGTAAGGTTCCCAACCCTCAACTGTCAGGACATCATTAAAACCACTTCCCTGCCTTCCCTGTGCCCGACCAGCAAGGAGCAGGGCGGGCATCCGGGGGGCCTGGCCCTGGGCCAGAGGTCCGCTCAGGGCCTGTCAGAAGGCGTCTTTTCCCACGGGGGAAGGGCCCTCAGCGAGGGCCAGCACCCCCTTTTCCAGGCCCTGTCAGGCCCTCCTGTGGCCCCGGCACAGGCTGCTCCTCTCGCTGCTCTCGGACCTCCGCCCAAACCAGCGCTGGACTACGAACCAGCGCGTTACTGCAGGCACCAGAATGGCCTGGCTGGCCTTGCAAAGCATCCTGGGTAATTGCATGTAAATTGCCAGATGGGTGTGAGGCTAATTAAGTTTTAGCAACCAGAAAAACGAGGACCAAAACACAGGCACAGGGCCCTGTTTGTTTAGAAACAGTGCATATGGTGTAACGTCTGTCGCACTGGCAGTGCCGCGTCCCCGTGTGGTTTCCAGTGCTGCCCTGTCTCCCTTGGTTCTGAAATGCCCTGGAGACCCTCCTACAAATGCACACGGGGCTCCCGGGAAGCCGGGCTCCAGATGTAGTGAGAACATCTGGAAATGGTGTATCATAGACGAGGCACTGCTGTGGGGTTTCCCCTGACAGGCTCCTACACGCTTGTTGTGGGAGGAATACAGGGCATCTCTCAGGTGGCAGGGACTCCACATGTGGTCTAATCATCGCTCGCGTACTTGCCATGATGTTCCGGGGACGGGACTGACCCCGGACAGAGTGTCTCCCGTTGGTGTTTTCCATCGCGAGGCTGGCTGAGAGCATGCTCCATATTGAGTGAAAATGTGTCTCCTCGCGGCTGCTGTCCCCTGGTCGCAGGTGTGGCTTTGGGAAGGTGAAGATCTGTCCCTGCTCATCCCCACACCCTCCTCCTCTTGGCTGCTCCTCCTCTGAGGTGAGGGACGGGCTAGACCAGCGAGCACTGCAGCTGGACCTGCGTCCACACTCTCGCCTGCAGGCAGACGGGGCCTTTGATGGGCGGGGCGGGGCGGGACGGGGTCAGGGCCGTGGCTTTCAGGGGCGCCAGGCTGAGCCGGGGCTGGCACCCCTCTGACTCACCACAGGTCTTGCCCACAGGACATGGGCTTTCCTAGGAACAGGGAGGAGGCCATTGGTGGTGGCAAGTCTGCAGCTCCGAGCACGCGGGTCTCCGTCCCTGGGACTTCGTGGAGGTGTTGACTGAGTGAAGGACAGTGTCCCTAGTCCTGGGTGTTATGTGGACATTGAAAACGTGTTTTTGAAGTGTCTGTGGGAAGCGTCCACCTTGGAGGGCTGAGGAAGAGTCCGAGACACGAGTATCCATACGCACCGCGATCCGTGTGCAGTGGTTGTGTCGGGAACCCCGGCTTCTTCTTCGGGGTCTGAAACTGGAAGAGCGAGGAACGTAGGTGCCCTAAGATGACAGTGCAGCTGGCAGCGCAGGCACGTAAAGCAGTACAGCAGCAGCCTGGCCAGTGCTGAGCGCCGGCCAGGCCTGCAAGTGCCGGGCGCAGGGGGAGGCGTACCGGGGACTGTGGTGGAGTCGCAGGTGGGCGCTGAGGCCCAGAGGCAGGCACTGCCAGCAGGTGGCACCTCCTCGCCCTCTGCCCTCCCAGGCTTCAGGGGGAGGTGCTGCCCGCACTGCATTCCCCTGGCCCTGCCCCTTCCTTCCGCAGCGCCTGCCCCAGGTGATGCTCCCTGGTGGTCTGTGCCTGTGCAGGGCCCCAGAGGGCGGCTCTCCCTGCGGCCCTGGAGTGCCAGGAGCTCAGGGAGCTGGGCTTTGAGAGGCACTGCGGGCCGCGTGGGTCCAGCCTCTGGGACCAACTCGGCTCTGTGGTCACTTAGGAACCTAACGCCTCGGTGGGTGTCCCGGGGCTGGTGCACAGCAGCTGCTGCCCCGTCTCTGCTGGGCCCTTTGGTCTGAGACACCGTCGTGCGCCCCACGGGCCCCTTCTAGCATGTTTCTCCCCTCCGCCGCCCTCTCTCCGCCGGCCCAGGGTTACTCAGGGTGATGGCAGGGGCAGGGACCATGGCAGCGGCGACTGTGTCCCCCTGGCACCACCCCAGCCTCCAGCCCCCACAGGGAGGGGCATCTGAGCGCCAGTCTCACGTCTGTTAACTAACTAACTGCACTTGAAGGTGGGATCGATGCAACAGGTCCTGGAACGCAGCTTCCCATCTCTGGCCTCTCGGCTGAGCCGCAACAAAGGTCCTGTCTTGGCATCTCTGACTGTGGCCACTTCACTTGAGAACCCAGAGGGCAGGGCAGGGCCGTGTGTCTCCCTAAGGTACAGACCTGCTGACACACCAAGTGTCAGTCAGGGCCCAGGGTCCAAGGGCAGCCCTGCAGCCCATCTGTGGACTCCTGGGGTCCCATTCAGGACCCAGGAATTAAGTAATTTCCCCAAGGTTGTCCCTCAAGCCGGCAGCTGACTGTGACTGGAAGCCGGGTCTCTTGGCCCAGAGGCGCCCTTGCCCCCTCTCCAGGCCCCATACCCCCCTTTCCCAGGAGGGACTGTGTCGGCCTCGTGCTCAGTGGGTTGCCCGGAGTTGGAGCCTGGCATCGGAGCCAGGGGTGGGTTAACACCATCGCTTGCAGGTGCTGCCTGGGTCAGGCAGACCACCCCACCCACCACAGTGTGCTGGGCGCCTTCTGCAGAGGGCGGGAGCCGGAGCATAGGAGCCAGTCCCCTGTGAGCTCCTGGCGCTGGCTCGGGGCCGCCCTGCCCCTCTAGACCGGCAGCTGCCCCCACCGCACACCCTGGCGCAGGAGCTCCTGCCTCCGGTAACCTGTTCTGTATCCAGACAATCAAGGGTCCACACAGCCTGTCACTACGTGAGCCATTTAAGCAGAAATAGGTGGACTCATATATGAGCGTTTATTCCAGTACTGCCGGCAGCATGGGAGAGCAGCAGGTCACCCACAAAATCTGCTCTGCGGCCCCCATGAGCCAGCTGCTTATATTGGGAAGGGGGGCAAAGATGTCCTGGGAAGCAGGCAAAGGGTCTGCCAAATGGGATTCACAGGTCTAGAGATTTGCAAAGGCCTTCGGGCAAGCAAAGGCGGTG